CCCCAAAACCCCAAAACCCCAATGAAAGTAATTTGGCTTAATCAGTGATGGAATAAAACTTTTAAATAATTATAAATACTCTTTAATTAAATCGATAAAGAACAATGGTGGGAGCAACAACTCAATCTGTGTCAAGCACGGTCCTTGCCTCCGCAGATCTAATTAAAAGCATAGACCTGGGTTTCTATAAGCTGCAAATGAATGAATCGTTTTTCATCTTTGAAATAATCTTTGGAATCTACTTACTCTTGAACCTAGCCCTCATAGCTGAGAAATACTTAATGCCTTGTCTCATGAATATTTCAAAGCGATATAATATGAGTAGAGATCTAACTGGAATACTGGTAGCTATAGGCAATTTAGTCCCAGAACTTACCACTACTATATTGTCATTCTTGAAACATGGAGTAAAGATGACTGAATTTGGCATTGCCTGCAATGTAGGGACCTCGATATTCGTGATAACTGTGGTGCCAGCTGTTGCCATTCTTATGACTATTTAAGGTAACACACAAAATGCTAGATAAGAAGGATAATCGCAGTAAAATAGTGATGATCATAATGAAAATCAGGACGATGAAGATGAAAATTAGGCCTTAATTGAGAAAGTTGATAAGGAGGTTGATTAAGATTCTGGCCACAACCTGAGTCCCGAAATGGAGTAATAAATGATGTCTACAATATTCAGGGATATGGGTTTCTTCATAGCTGGCTTGATTCTTTATGAGGGATTACTATACAAGGGTATAATATATTTCCATGAGGCAATTGCGCTATTCCTTGTGGTTGTTCTGTATATCTTTGTCATTTTTAAGATGGAGAAGCAAACAGATAAAAACGAGCAAATTAAAAGCTTAGTAGCAAAGGGTGCAAATCAAATGGAATAATCTAGTTTACAACACCTTCCAAAGCAGCAGAGCGATGACTAGTGCTTTAAAGCTAACGACAAGCTGCCCTCTAGTTATTCGAATTCATTTTAAGCACACGGTAAGGAATAGGACTTACTGTCTATGGTGTCTAAGCAAGACTACGAGACCTTGGAGAAGGAGAGTAAAATGCTACACTATTTGGAATTATTATGCTACCCAGCCATTAAGTTACTCGGACTAATCCTGCCTGTGTAAAAATCCCCAATCGCAGCATTCTTAATCATCGTGGCTCTATTTTTCATAAGTATGGACTTCATTTTGACTTTAGTTAGTGTGATGTCTGTATACACTCACCTCTCAAGCGTCTTAATAGCTCTCACTATAATGTCATGGGGATCAAGTCCAATAGAACTTATTAATCTAATCATTGCCTCTAAAAAGGGAGAATTACAAATAGGATTGACATCAATCCTAAGTGGAATTGTATTTACATTTTTCATTCTTATGCCCCTTGCTATGATATTTAAGATGATAAAGAAAGAAACACATGAGATTGAAGTAATCAGTCCCATCCACTCTAGCAATCTAATGTTCCTGCCAGCTTTGATCTTGACTTTATTTACAACATTTATTTACTGGAAAACTAGAATGAACTTTGGCAAGTACTCTGCTTCAGCCTTGATAATCTCATACTCACTCTATCTAGGCTACATGTATTATGAGTTGAAAGGTGATAAGATATGAGCTTAGGATGCTATTGATTACAATGTAAAGTGAGATAAAGTCAATTATATAACAATTTTAATAATCCTACAAACATGTATTCATACATAATCCAGACATATGATTTTAATTTAATACTGTTCTTTAACTCTTTTCCTTCCAATAATTACATTGTGGGGTTTTGGGGTTTTGGGGTTTTGGGG